ACCCACCTTGTCTTTTTTGGGACAGTCCAAAGTCTTAAGTGTGATGTATCAGCAGTATTTGGCTACTGTCTGCGCTGACTGACCATTTCAATTTAGCCATCAAAACCTATTCATAGTAGTTTGAATAACAAAAATCTTATTGGAGAGGACCCTGCAATGTCCTGAGGCTCAGCAAAAACGTGATGGTGACACTCAGTGGAGTCTACTCGCAGAGTTTTTATTTGTTCTTTAGCAGAGTGCACTTTTACCCCGGTGTTTGTAGTGAGTCACATTGCCTCTGCCCACAGGTTCCTTGTAAAAAGCAGCATAATAATAAGAAACGCTTTTGCTAAGTTAGTATTCAGCATGGGGCCAGGAAGTTAAAGTTTTCTATTGACTGTTTTCTATGGTTGTGAGTACAAAAGCTCTGCCAATGTGCCTTCATCTGGGCTGGCTGGTGAAGATCTGCCCATGAGCTGTTCTGAACATCACTGCTCTGCTTCCTTTGTCCATCTGTGCTCTTCTGGGAACTTGGGACTCGGTGTTATTACCCAGCTGGGATGCATTAGAAACTCAAGGTCAGGCTAAAACCTTATCTTACTTATTTTATTGTGTTCTTTTAACTTAGATACAGAACTTCTCAGATGTTTATTGTGTCTGAGGCCCAGGAGATCTCTGCCTCGATGGTAGGCAAAGCTCCAGAACTGCAGCACTGGCATCAGCAATGCACGATTATTTTTTTTTCTGGTGTCCCCAACATCAGAAGGACACGGAGCTGCTGGAGCAAGTCCAGAGGAGGCCACGAGGATGCTCAGGGACTGGAGCACCTCCTGTTTGGAGACAGGCTGAGAAAGTTGGGGCTGTTCAGCCTGGAGATGAGAAGCTGCGTGGAGACCTCAGAGCAGCCTTCCAGTGTTTAAAGGGGGCTACAAGGATGCTGGAGAGAGACTCTTCATCAGGGAATGTAGCAATAAGACAAGGGGTAAGGGGTTCAAACTTAAACAGGGGAGATTATGTTAGATATAAGGAAGAAATTCTTCCCAGTGTGGTGAGGCACTGGCACAGGCTGCCCAAGGAAGTTGTGGATACTCCATCCCTGGAAGTGGTCAAGGACTGGCTGGAGAGGGCCTTGAGCAACCTGGTGTAGTGAGAAATGTCCCTGCCCATGGCAGGGGGGTTGGAGGTGGATGCGCTTAAGCTCCTTTCCAACCCTAACTATTCTATGATTCTATGATTTAAACTGAGGTACACCTCTGGGAAAGCGTGGTTGACTGGTTCATCAGGGCCTGGCTTTCCTGGATTTGCAGGTGAACCTGCAGAGACATGTGTGCACACACGAGTAATCTCCTACCGATTACCTCGTATTGCCCATGATTAGAGCTCTCCAAACCGATGCCCAAGTTCGTGCTGTATTTCCCAAGGCTCGGGTTAACGTTTCTCTATGATGTTGCAGATTCTCTGAGAGCTCGTCCTGCTGGAACACTACGGGAAACCCGCACTTCGGTGGGGTTTTGAGATAACAGCGTGCCCGGCACCTTCGGTCTCCTCCCCACCGCCGCAGCTGCCTGGGAACCGGCCCAGGGCAGGCTGGCGGGCGGGCGCAGGGACCGCCGCGTCTCCAGCGCACGTCGGGACGCAGCGCCCCCTGGCGCCCCCTCGGGGCACACGGCTACGGCGGGGCCGTCGGGGCGAGGTCGGTGCGGGGCGGGATCAGGCGTCCCCCTAAGACACGCTCGCCCTGCCCCTGGATGTGTCTCGGTGCCCGGCGGCCCCCCAGTGACTTCCCTCCGCCCTAAACCCAAACAGCTGGACTCAGCTGAAAAGTTAAAAGGACGCTCAAACACTTGTCTGAAGCGGGGACAGCGCACGCAGAAGAAAGCAGTGTCTCAACAGGCTACAAGAAAACTTCATTACTATCGTCCTTTAGTAGAAGTGCTCCAGAAAATGTCCTGGGAACATTCTGAAACTCATTGTCCCGTGTAATGATGCTGGCTGCTGTGCCCTCAGTGGCTCTGATGCAGCAGCAGTCATGAATTATTTGTATTTCAGATTTGGGTTTCATGGTAGCTCCTCTGTAGATGAGATCTGCTGTATTTCCATGCTTATTTAACACAAAGCTTCCTTTGGGAAACAAGCACTAAGTGAGCTTTGAGCCACCAAGGCAAAGCCCATGGAAGTGGCCCCATACTCCAGCAGGCCGGTTGTGATGTTGGGGTTGGCAGGGACTGGGATGCTTGGGTCTTCTCACTTAAAAAGTTGGTTCCATACCTCACTGAATTGGCTGGAATAAAGCAGAGCAAACCACAGGAGGAATGAACCACTCTGATTTAGCAAATGAACAGAAGTGGGATAGCAGAAGCAATGAAGTGTGATTGCGGAATATAATGATTGATCCATGTTGGTAATCTTAATCCTATAATGAACTGCAAGATGTCAGGGCCTCAGAGTGACACATTCCAGCTGAAAAACCAGTTCCAGTCTTCCAGACCTTTAGATTTACAGTGGATGAGAGATGAGACACAACAGCACGTGTTGTGTGCTACCCCCAGGCCCACAGACCTCCCTCAGCCCAGACTTCCCTGGACCCACCACTGGGACTCTCACATCTATCTCTGTGTTGGCACAGCCAGGAGCAGCACCTTGCCAGTGAGCAGCCTTCAGAAATGTAAGTGCTCAGCAGGACAGCTGTACACATGGTTTCTATGAGGGGAATGTCAATACAGATCCCATTTACTCTTGTTCACTTCTGGTCAGGAGAATTAAAAATGAAAATTAATTAGGGACAGTTTAAGGGCTGGTGCTAATGCCACAGATAAGGATTTTCCACTTGCTAAAGCTGAAAATTTTGCTGTCCTAGGGAAAAAAAAGTATAATGACTTCTCATTCTGCTGTATAAAATATGGGGTCCACTCTTTCTCACGTTACCAGATCTGTACAAACAATGGCCGAAAGAAAATCATCAACAAGAAGCAATTCTTGAATTCAAGTCAGTGATCAAAGCTTAAAAAAAATGGACAAAGTCCACAGTAGAAGTAAAATTTCTATTAGTTTTACCAGCTTAATAATTACACAATTAGCTAATAATTACTGCACCAGCGAGCTTATCACCTGCACAATGAGCACTGGATTATTCAGTAATAGCAATACACTAAACTGAGTCTAAATTTAGGTTACCATCCAGACATGTTTATAGAAATGTGTGCGGGAGGTAGAGAGCCTTAGAAGTGAATCTTCAGATTTCTTCTTATCACAATTATAGACAAAATACGGAGACATAGAGGAAATGGCTCTTCAGAGATGACAATAAAAATATTCTGTTGGTACAGTTGTTATCGATCAGTTCCTTTCAAACAAACAGGACTTCATTGAGCAGTTTCAAAGAAGTTCTGCAGAGATGTGGCAATCCCAGTGGTGCACTTTTCCTACTCTGTCTGCTTGGTAGCAGGTAAGGAGGAGGGCAGAGTCCCCTCAAGGGGAAAGGGCCCCAGGAGATGACTGAGCATCCCAGCAGGAGCACCTGGGAGAAATGCACAAAAAATCGGCTGTGTTCCACTCATGGAAATGTTTATTGGAGAATGAGAATTAAATTCAAGTTAGTGCCCATGCTCCTGTCTGGACTGAAGCATCCCGGAGAAGTGCTGCTGAGACCAACCATTTAACCGCATGGAGCAACAACAAAATGCATGGGAATGAAATGGTATTTGTAGTCAGCACACATCCACAGCTGACTCTTCATCTGTGTAATCATGGCTCTGCTTTTACAAGGGGCTTTTCATGCTGAAAGATGTCAAAACACATGCAAATGTAAGTTTTGGTCATGGCTTTGACACTGTTAGGAGCAGCAGTCTACGCTTCCTTGTTAATAGTCTTGGGAGAGGGAGTATCTCCCTTTCAGAAGTTTAAAGCTGTAGAATCATAGAAACAACCAGGTTGGAAAAGACCTTTAAGATCACCAAGTCCACCACTAAACCATGTCACTAGGGGCCTCATGTACACGCTTTTTAAACACTTCCAGGGACAGTGATTCCACCATTTCCCTGGGAAGCCTGTTCCAATGCCTGATCATCCTTTTGGTGAAGAAATTGTTCCTAATATCCAGTCTAAAGCTTTTCCTGGCCATTTCCTCTTGTCCTATGACTTGTTACTTGGGAAAAGGGACCAACCACCTCCTCTCTCCATCCTCCTTTCAGGTAGTTGCAGAAAGCGATAAAGTCCCCTCCCCGAGCCTTCTCTTCTCCAGGCTAAAAGTTACACAAAACCCACAGGAGAGAGAGAGGGCCCCTAAAAAGGTATTTTATTTGGCTGTTATCAGCCCCCAAAAAACATTGGTGAATCAAATCTTGTTGTATTACAACCCTATGGAAATTTTAACAGAGCTATATTGAAGCAACAGCATCCAGATGAAGGTTATATATACTGATGGCAATATATATAATGTATATATATAAAGATGGCAAAGTTTGCCAGACGGTTACAAAAATGTAAGCATCTCAAGGAAATAATATTCTTTGAAGGCAGCTCAACATTGCCGGACTGCAGATTCTCACAGAAGAAAGTGCTGCTTCTGTAAGGATTAGCAGAGGATGTACAGTTAGAAAACGAACGTCAGTTTTCCACCTGGGAAAGGTAGAGGGCTATAAACATTATTCATCTTGAAGAAATTACAAAGAAATACAGCGAAGGAATTGATAGTGTTTCTATATGCGTCAACAGCTGTCTAAGTTTAAATCAGTGTTCATCAGTTGGTGTGTGTTCCCCTTATTTGTTTAGTCTATGAAAGATTTTGTGTGTTGTTAGAGAATTCTCTTTATTTTGCTGACTGTTCCAATTAAAAACTCACTCCGCACCCCTCATTCTGGAGCTCACATGTGGGCAGTCCCTCCCTGGAGATTTCTGAAGACCTGACAGCACAAGGTCCTGAACAATCCAGTCGAACGCTGAGGCTAGCTTGGTTTGGGCAGAAGGTTGGACTCGATGATCTCCAGCAGTCCTTTCCAACTAATTCTTTCTTATGTCTCTGCTGCCTGGCCATCAGATGAAGGCTTTAGTTTTCTGCCGCAGATGGCTGAACACTAGATATATCTGTCTTTGCAGAGTTCCTCTGGGAGGATACTCCTGCCTTCTGGCAGGCACTGCCTCTTTTATAATGGCAGTTCTCAACCCAGGCATGCCTGAAAGAGGGGGAGATGGACTGCAGAGCATGACTCTGGGCTGCGCTACTTCGCTGGCACACACACAGCAGGGACTTCAACTCAGATCTGAAGTTCTCATTCAACCAGCAGTAAATGAAGGGATTGTAGCAGGTGCTGCTCATGGCAAACCAGTGAAAAGCAAAGTACAGAGCATTGCTACTGTGGATGGCCCTACAGGAGATCAACACCACATAGCAGTTCAGGGGGAACCAGCACACTGCAAACACAACCACCACCACCATCAGCATCTTCAGTGTCATCTTCTTTTTCCGTTGATGGGCATAGTATTGCTGCATGGTGAGATCCCCGATGGCGTTTCTCAGCCAGAGCTTCTTGGCCACCATGGTATATGTGATGGAGATGACAAGCAAGGGCAGGACATACAAGAGCACAAAAGTAGTCAAATCCAAATACTTCCAGAAAAGATCAGCAGGAGGAGGGAAGCTGGGAAGGCAGACCATTCGTATTGTTCTGTTTCTGGTGATCAAAGAGAGAAAGAACTGTCAGTTCCACTACCAGCTGCACACAGCTCCCAGAGGACAAACGTCTCAGATGTTCTTACAAGTTTCAGTAAAGGCACAGAAGTCATTCAGTAACAAAATGCCACTTTCAATGAAAAACAAATTGCTTTAAGTTTGACCTTCTGCCCCAGTGAAGATATTTTAAACACATCCTCAAGAAAACAAAAAAATAATCCATATTGACATCTGTGCCCTGTAATGACAAAAGACACCTCTCTTCTGAAGCTCTGAGCTGACAACAAACTAACCTGAATGCAATTCCATTGATTTGCATTGTCCTTCTGTGAGAAACACACCACCTAGTGAAACAGAAGGGAGGCTTCTCCGTGTCACTGTACCTTCTTCTCTAATAATACAGGTAGAGATGTGTCCCTTACAATCTGTGGAGCTTTGATTAAGCTGCTTATGTCATATTAAAAAAAGCGCCATGTAAATGTCTTACCCAATATAAAATCTTGTCAAAGTCTGATAAATGGCATGAGGCAGTGAGAAGCAGCTTGCCATAACCCAGATGATAATGATGCAAATTCCTCCTTTCACCATGGACATGCGTGGCTTCAGAGGGTGCATAATAACCTGCAGAGAATTTATACATGAGGATTTATAGTGTCTTCAATAGATAAAAACAAGCAGCAAGCTCTAGAAAAAAAAAAAGAATGCATCTTTGCTTTGTTCATGTCCAGGAGCAAGAATTTCTTGCTGATCACTAAGAAGCAAACAGCCTGTGTGCTTTCCAGGACAGCAAGAAATGCTCAACGTGGACCCGAAGTGTGGCAAAGTTGAAAGCCAAGAGGCTGCTCTGATTTGTAGTCCAGGGAATGCAGAAAGTCTCCTAATTAGGAAACAAGGTCTCCAGTACAGATGGTAACCATGGGGCTTGCAGCATTGGCATTTGGTGGACACACAGGACAGAGTGACAAGATGCTGGAGAACCAAGGTTGAATGTAATCCTTGGCCAGCATAGGACTGACAACCTTGAAGGCTGGTCGCTTTTACGTTCACAGCATACCCTGTGCAGTACTGGCTACAGCATGGTGTACCCTATGCACGTTTGCTGCTAAGGAGGGCTACTTTATCTGACAACATCTGGGTCACTTTTTGAGCATCATGATGCAGTTTGAAGTACTGCAGCAGCTCTACATCCCTCCAGTGTTAAAACTCATTTTACAGACATCAGAGAGTACGACATCTGGAAAATGTAAGGGTTTGTGCAAGTGTTAAGTGCTACTGCTGGACCCGAGTCCTAAGCAGAGAAACACTCTCAGTGTCACCCATTGGCTTGACTTCAGAGATCATGATGGTTAGATGTCTGTTGAGCTACATGCACTATGAATGATTAGATTAGGCAAAGAAACAATAATTAAAAATAGACCTTTCATGTCATCCAAATTATCTCTTAGCTGAGGAAGTCTTTGGTATTTGGCATGTCATTTCTAGTCCCATTGTAAGTATCTATTTCACCAAGCTTCTACAGCTCCCCTGGAGCACCTGTCTGCTCTGGTACCTCTCAGGACTAGCGCTGATTTCTATTTGCTCAGTGACATATCCTTACTTCCGTTTTTACCTCCTTGGGCCATACTAGCTAATTCAAGTTCTGAGCAACCTACTCCACTGAATTTAAAGGTAGGTGTTGTGTTTGCCCTTAAACAAGCACTTCTTGATACCTAGCCATGCCTTGCAATGAACCCAGAATCTACTGATTAAAATGAATCATCAAAACACTTTGCTTTCAAGAGCTACAATATTGCACAAAGGAAGGGCACACTACCAAACTTTTTCAGTAAAAAAGACAGAAGTGGATGATCTATACTCTGTCAGTCACTGTAATTTTCTGACACCAGATGGAGCCCATCCCAGACAATCAGATTGGAATTTGTTATCATTTTGAACTTCATCTAGCCATGTCATTTCTCATGTGAAGTTGCTTTGACTCCACCACCACACTCGCTGGCTGAGAGCGTGCCTTGCAGGATCTGCTCTCTCAGTGCACAGCATTTATCAGCTTAAGCAAACATGACAAACCGCTCTACTTCAAAGAAACCCTTTGGTTTGCACTGCAGTCTGTAAGGTTTTCCTTGTTGGCATGTGCCGAAAAGTAACAGGGCAGGGTGAAGAGAAGAATTTTTCACCTTGAACTGAATATGCTAACATAGTTCTCACTGCTTCCAGTCTTAGGCATCCCAAAATAGTGAGGCAAGCCTAAGAACTGTAAGATTCTTCATAAACTCATGCTGAGATTCTGCCTTGGCTTGCTGGTGCTTGAACTTCAGTATGTATTCCTGCTGTGCTTTCAGGGCTGTCACTGGCAGAGTGGCTAAGCTGGGCAGGGACCCCTGGAGATCACCTAGTCCAATGCCCTGTGCACTGCAGGTTCAGCTAGAGCAGGCTGTCCAGGGCTTACAGGTTTTGAGTATCTCCAAGGACAGAGTCCATAACTTCTCCGGACAGCCTGTTCCAGTGTTTGGTCATCCTCACTGTAAAACAAAGCATGAAGTTTTTGTCTACCACAATGAAAAGCAGAGTTCTCCCCTCCGTTCCTTGATTCCCAAGACAAACCAGGTTTCCAGGTACTGCGATTTCAAGGGGTGTAAACTATTTAGTGCCTTATTTTCTAGCAAACTTAGGGATCATGTGCATCACATACCTGATGCCGGTCCAGAGCGATGGCTGCAAGGGTCAGCACAGACACATGAACAGAGCAGTACTGAACAAACCGGCTTACGTGACACATCAGCTTTCCAAAAACCCAGGTACTGCTTACAAACCGCACCTGAAGAACAGACAAAATTGGATCAGAAAGTGTGCATTATCTGATGAGCACCAAATAGGCTTCCCAGGAGTACGGTAAGGAACAAATGCTTTCATAGTTTCCTTATGCTTTGTAGATGCATTAGGTTTTCTGGGAAAACAGTAACTATGCAAGATGCTTTGAAACAGAGGTGAGATTTGTCACGAAAAAATCTGCTTGAGCAGTGCTCTGTGTATGTGTGTTTGCATGGGCCTGTGTACATGGGTACATGTAACATCATCCGTCTGGAAAATCTTGGACTAGTTTGTGCTGGAAGGGACCTTAAAGCTCATCCAGTTCCAGCCCCTGCCACAGGCAGGGACACCTTCCAGTAGAGCAGCTTGCTCCAAGCCCTGTCCAGCCTGGCCTTGAACACTGCCAGGGATGGGGCAGCCACAGCTTCCCTGGGCAACCTGTGCCAGCGCCTCAGCACCCTCACAGGGAAGAATTTCTTCCTAATATCTAGCATAAATTTATCTCAGCTCCTTGATGTGGCTCCACAGGGAGGAGAGGTAGCTTGCTTTCTTAAAAATAGTTGCACATCTGAATTTGTGGGTGCTGAAAGCTGCATGGGTTCAAAACTTAGAGAAATTCATGAAAGAAAAAAATCACTGAGGGTACTGAAATAGCGAGGTACCTCCTCCGAGTGAGAGAATGCCTGTCTGTGGAGCATCCCTGCCTGCCTGCCCCATGTCCATACACTTCCTGGAGCCTGTAGCTACCAGCAACACTCAGAAACAGGGCATGGAGCTGGGTGTCAGGATCTTGCTTGCACAGTGATGTCTAAGCCCAGCTCTCCTCTAAGCACATTGTGTGAGATGCATCAACAGCAATTTCAGAGGTGTCAATTAAGTTACACAGAGAGAAGGAAATTATCCCCTCCAGTTGAAAAAGCAACTCACACATCACAGGCTGGGCTGCCCTCATTGATCTGACTGCTGCAGGTACAGAAGCCATCTCCACCCAGGCATGAAATCCAGCCACTCTTGGGAGGGGAGCGGGGCAATGGCAAGGGCAGCGTGGCATTTCCTATGAGTTCCCAGAGGGTGCTACTTATTGTGGATTTTCTGCAGGACACATTATTCCAAATAACAGTTGTTCTCTCACCCCCTTATTATTCCTGACAGTGTTTATTCTAAATTAATGTAACTCATTCTGGAAGGAAATGAAGCCACTTTGAAAAAATAAAGCACATTTACTACAAAATATCTGTCCACACAGAAATTTAGTCAAGTAGCTAGTCTGTTTTCAGTTAATCCAATTAATTTCCCTATAGAGACAACTCCAGTAGCAATGACTCTGTCACTGAATGCGTAGCAAAATGCTGTTTCTTTGAAGTTGTTGTAAAGCTCCTTCCCAAGAGATTACAGTTATTTAATTACTTGTGCCTAAAGTGTGACTGTCATGCAAACACACGAGAGGGCACTACATTCCCCTGAACAGATTATGGGATGCAAATCCTGCCAGAGCAAGGAGGAAAAACCCCGTCAAAGAAACAGGATCAGTTTAAGAACAGGTGAATTCAAACTGGCAATCAGGAGCTGCTTTTGGAAGGCAGAACACTGTGGGCACAGCTTTGTGTAAGGACTGAAGCAGCAGTACATGTGATGCTTTTGAATCAGAGGGCTGTGTCAAATTCAGCTATACACAGAGTCCTACTTACTCATTGTTCATAGCTTGTGACAGTGGGGCAAGTAATGAATCCGTTTAACTCTTCCCACCTCATTATTTTAATAGTTTTTTATGTCTTATATTACTTAGCAACTGAACTAAGCAAAGGACAATCAGCTGCAAAAAGCAGCTCGTAGTGCCCCAGTGAGAGGCATGTCAAGCTGACACAGCTCAGCACAGACCTGGCAGTTTCCCCTACAATCATCTTCACAAAGACTGACCTCTTCTGCAGTATTTCCATAGGAAATTGGCAGGTAGTTGGACTTTCTAGTGTCAAAATTGTCCTTGCTTCCTTCCCCATTAAAAGACAGACAGCACTTTGACATCTGTGCCTTGGCACTGTCCTGGGAAGAGGGAGGAGAGCTGAAGAGAAGTGACATGAGGAGGGTGCACAAGTGTCCCAACTCTGCTCACTGAGCTCTGCCTGCTGCAAGGGGTGGTGGGGAGCAGGGGACACAACAGCAGCTTGTCCGAGAGGAAAAAGGGAGAGGGACAAAAAGAAACTCCGCCTATTAGCCCGTTCCTGGCCCATTCAATATACGTGCACGCAGCTGACAGGCACACACAGAACCACCAAAGCAGAGACAAGCTAAATGCTCACCAGCGTGAAGGGGGTGTTCAGAATGGTGATCATCACGTCGGCAACGGCCAGGTTGACGATGAAGAGGCTGGTGGCTGAGTGCATCCTTTTGTTCTTGATCACCACGTGGCACACCAGGATGTTGCCAAAGAGTGAGATGCAGATGATCACAGAGTAGGCTAGAATCAGCAGTGCCTTCACTGTCCGGCTCTGAGACTCACCCTCGTATTGGGTCCCACTGCCAAAGTCCCCTAGGTCCTCCAGGTCCAAGTCACTGTGGAAAAAAGATTTGTTAGGAAAGCCATACAGTGCAGAGAAGAAGTTGGTTGTGCTGTTATTCTCTGCTCTCCAGAGGGGCTTGGAGATGTACTGCAGTGGGAACCACGTGTGCCTGCTCATGGCTTGGGAAGCCAAAGCTCCAGCACTGCGTGTGTCCCTGGGCAGGCTGCTTGTTCCTCCTGCCCTTCTTTACTGGCAGCTCAGGTGCTACAGTCAGTGGTTGCAGGAGGGCACACACTCCCTTGCATTTTAAAAATCTGCCCTGTGGTTGCAAACTACATAGAAGAGTGGGTAAACGGGTCCTTGTTCCTATGCTGACTGCATGGGAACTTTGTTTCAGAAACTCTCCAGCTGCTGTCGTTTTTCAGTCCCATATGTCCTATGTACAGAAGCTGACTCAGATGCTGAAATATCAGAGATGCCCAACACTTTCTTCTCTGCACCCAGGAAGAAATCCTAGTTAATATTTCCTTTCTGGACACTGTTCTGCTTCTGTCCCACAACAACTTCTTGGAAATCCACTGGATTTGTTTTCCACATAGTCCTTCATCTGTCGGGTATTTTTAGAGCTTGTCAGAATCAGAAAAGCAAGGGCTGCTTTTCCCTTTTCTTTCCATCCTCAAAGTGTCTCTGAGCTATATACACTGAAGCAGCTTTGCTTAGAGACTGAGTGGTCCCTGCTTTCCCTGTGATATATACCGCCTGCCAGATGACACACCATGTAGGAAATAGCCAATAGCGTATTTCTTCCTCGTTTATCCTGAGGTGTATCACAACCACACACATAGACGATGGGAGAGACTGACATGTGCGGATGTAGCAGAGCAGCAAAATAGAGAGAATGAGGATGTGTCCTCGCCGTCCTCATCTCTTCTCTCCTCCTTCTCCTCATTTCTGTGTACCCAGCACAACAGCTACATGTGGTGAAGCATCTTTACTGATTTGCAGCATCTTTCTTTCTCTCTGTTGCAGAGTAAGCACAGGGCACCTGAGGATTTCTCCCAGCTTTGTGCCTGACACTGTCCCCTTCTTGCTCTCCTGTGGCATGGAGGACAGAGTAAAAAAGTGAAATGAAACCTGAAAATGAGAACAGAATTTTCAGGGTGCTGCTGTGTGTCTGGAGAGTCCCTGTGCACTGAGCCAGGACAGCAGGGAGAGCCACGGCAAAGAGCAGCAATCTGGATGCAAATCCCTTGTCTTCTCCTTCCCTTCCTTTACAGTCATTTGCAGAGCAGGCTCCAAGCTCAGAAATGCAGATGTGAAGAGCTTTCTGTGCTGTCTTCCTGCAGTGGGCCCCCATGCTCACAGTGGGGGCATCTGGCAGCAGCAGGTGCTGAGCAGGCAGGGGGGATGAGAAGAGAACAGACAGGTTTGCATACAGGATTGGAGACAAATGTCAACTTCTTCTCAGTTTTGACAAACTTGGTATCCCAGCATTTGTTTGGCAACACAGAATGTCTTTTGCCATAAGTGTTTTGTACCAGACTTCTAAGCCCTTTCTTAGCATCCCCAGACCCCTCTTTTCTCCCAGCCCACAGATGTCCCATACCTGCACCCTGCCCAGGGGCTGAGCCAGGCATGAACTGGCTAGTGGGCCATTTCATCCTCTTCTTCATAGTTTCTACTGTATAAGGACACTAATCACTGTAATGAGTAAATTCCTGTTTGTTAATCAAATCTTGCTTGCTTAGGAGTTACTTGCTTAGAGTTACTTGCTTGCTTAATAGTTACTGGAAAATTACGGTGCTTTGACATGTTACTTATAGACCGCGGGTATCCGTTAAAGTAAACGATGTATGGGGAAGGCGATAAGGAGCCTTCCTCCCCACACCCAGCGGGAGACAGAATGAGACCCCTTATCTACAGGTCACACAGAGGCAGAGGACGCCAGGAGGTGACACGTATGTCGGATGAAGAAGAGTATAAAACCAGTGACTTTGGGGAAGTAGGGTGCGTGCCGCTGGCGGAGCGGAGACTCCCCGGCCGCCCAGCGCTGTTTTGCTTGCTTTGCTTGCTCAATAAACTGATTTGATTCATTGGTCTGGCTCTCGTCCATTTATTTGAGCCACATTTATAACAATCACCTCAGTCAGGATTTTATTTGGAGGACATCACAGCCATAGAGGTGGAGGGCTGTGGCATGCAGAAGGTCAGAAGCAGGACTCCTTGCTACCAAAGGAGAAATGGTTGCACGTCTTCCAGAGACACAGGCTCTCAGAAATTGCTGCTGATGGCTTGGTTGGTGAATGCCACCATGTGTATGTATGTGTATCTATATCCATGCACGTGCCCTGTGTGACACACATGGCATCGCTGCAGCCCCAGCGCCATGGGGAGCCTGCATTGAGCAGCCCCAGGGTGGGTAAGCACCCATCAGCGTCTCTGCACAGAGGCTGTGGGAGCATGCAGGCCTTCATCCTTGGGCTCCTACACTGGATGTGCTTATTTGCCAGACTTCCCATTCATTTGTCATTCATTCGAAGGACAACCTGGGAGAACAGCATTAGGTGGATAAACCTGAGTGGTGTGAAATGCCCCTCTTGCCAAAGTCACACTATTCTGTACTACATCATTCTTTGCAAAAGTGATATATTCTGTCAAAGGTTCAAACACTTAAGCAGCCACATGCTGGTTTGCTGCAGTTATTAGCAACTTACAAACATTTTGAGCTGCTTCTAACAGACTTCAGTGTTCTTCATGTATTATAACTTAACATTTGTGCTGGCTCCTCTAAGTCAAACAGAGAAAGTACAGGAGAAATGTACCTTTCCAAGCACATCAATTTGAATTGTGCAAAGTGAACCTTTGCTCCTATAGAAGACCTTTTGTTTTCTCACTTTGGCACTACTTGAGTCCTAATTTTTTTTTTAATTTTTCATTTTCATGAGATGATCTAGCATTTTAAATTCTGACACTTTTTTTGTGTCAAAAAGAAATGCCAGATTGCTGAAATCTGGATTGAGATGAATGTAGACTAATTGTTGATGAGAGCCAAAGAAACCAGATCAAAGTTAAGATCTTTGTTTGGTCAGTAGTCCAGTAAATCTAAATACCAAAGAATGAAAGCACTTACTTTAGAAAAATTACATACATTTCATTGAAGTTTGACAGGTAGGATAAGAATAAGTTCTATTTCTCAGTTAAAATTTCCCAGCACTGTCACTAGATGCTAGTCACAAAACACATGTTGTCAACATACGTAATCTGACTCAGTTCCTGTCCCTGACTTTGTAAATCTACCTGGGATTATGACGTGCATTTTTAAACGCAAACTCCCTCCTCGCCAGTGCAGCTAACTGTCTGTTAGGAGAGTAGCTGAGTCTGCATCTGAAATTCCTAAACACTTCGGGATTTCATTCCACCTGGGAACATTAAAACCAGATTAAAACCAGATTAGGAGCAGCATGATCTTCTGGACAAAAGCACAGACTGCATTGCCTGTGCTCGGGAAGGCCAAGTCGGTTGTTAAGCATGAACCTCTGCACTTCGTATCTTCCCAGTACTTGCCTGCAGGGACATTTTCCTGTCTGGCAAAGATAAATCAGATAATTCATCATATTATTTAATTATAGAGTCTGTAAAAGTGTCAAGGGTCAAGGCTGCTCACTCTTACACCTTAACATAAACTAATTTTAAAGAAACGCCTTGTAAAGACACGATTCATCTTCATTACTGGACAGAACTGAACGATGAGCCAAATCATAACAGTAATGGAGTCTTTCTCCCCAGGCTGTGTTACCACAGTCTAAGTAGGAATACATATTAAAATGCTCGTCCCTGTCTGCTCCCATGAAGATGCAATGAAAATGCTTTCATTACTGGAGTTCTGAACTTCCAAAGCCGAATGAAATTGTCCTTACAGGTCCCTGCAGGTCATTATATTTCATATTTATGAGGTATGTAAAGACCTCATAAGAGGGCATAAGAGAAATACTGCGAATACAAGGCCGTTACGTTAAACATTTTCCTAATGTAAAAGTTCCCATCATGCTCTAAGGGTGCAATTTTCAGCTTTTTTGTTGGCATCTCTGTCTGTCCTTCCCTGAGCTCCATTGCTGGTGCCAAGCATGGGCCTCCCAGGGGAAAGGTTCTGCTTCAGAAACAGTATTGTTCTGAAGCTGCTCCTACTTTTGAGCCATTTCTGCTTCAGAACACATGAAGGAGATGCACAGAGCAACCTGCAGAGAAACTGGCTGTGCCTCCAAGAGCATCCTCTGTCTTTCCAGGCTGAGGTCTGCATGGAACTGCACCACAGGGAGGAGGGAGGACACAAGTTACAGAAAAGCCTAAACCAAGATCTTCTGGTGCAATAAAGAGATTTCTGGCTTGAAAAGAAAAGCTCTCCCATTCAGAGTTGAAAGCAGCTGGAGCTGACAGGAAGTTTCAGTGCTTGAGCCTTATTCAGAGGAAGAAAATTCAACAGCTAAAATTCCCAAGTCTACATCCCTAGTATCAGGCAGCTTTTTGAAAGAGTCCTGTTCCCTAGAGAAGCTAAGAGTTCACACTTTTCTGTTTTAAATACAGGTTTGATAAATAACAGAAACAATAAGAGCTGTATAGCAACCCCTGGGCTTTTTGTCTTTCACTGAAAAGGGGTGTTATACGCAAGAAATTGGACACTTCTTGAATACCATAATCTGGGATTATTTTTTTTTTTAGATTTGCTTTAATGCACTGAGGACTCTGCATTCATCTTCATTTATAGTGACTAGCACTGCTTTTGTGATTTAGAAAATGTGAGATGAACAGGCACAGAAATCCTGCAAGGCATTTTGTGGACTTAATAAGACATAATAAATAAACCATGTTTAGCCATCATGGAGTGAATACACCAGTAATGAATTAAATAAAGCAGCTCTGTAATTCTGACAGAAGCTAATTCAAAATAGCAAATGCATTTAACTTAGGGGCTGTTCGCTGTGCAGAACAGCTTAATGTCACTGCAATAAGCCTTCAGGAGACTGAATCTGAAGAGAGGGACAGGTGGGTGAGCTTTGGCACTTCCAGATGTGCCAAGCAGTGGCATCCTGCTGCAGTGCCAGTGCGAGGAGGTCAGTGGCATTAGAAGCATTCCCTCACAACTAATGCCTTCTATATCTGCTTGACAGCAATAAAAGTGATGGGCATGTTTGGTGCAGATAAGCCTTATTTAGGGAGTACTAGACTGCAGTTTGATCTTTGCATTGTGAACACTTGAATGATTCAATGCAAGCCGAAAATGGGATCCCTTTCTGCTAAGTTCAGCACGGATATCTCTTGTCAAAGGGATTCGATTCAGACCTAGGCAGGATGCTTGCAGCTGTGACCTGCAAACGATCACACATCCTACCTGACATCTGCCTGTCTCGGCACCCAGTTAATGTCATGTTTTATGATGTGGACACTGACCTAAAGCTCTTCAATCATGTAGCATCAGCCAAGGGAGCTGCTGACAATGCCTCTGTCTCTCAAGACTACAGACAAGCATTCTGGGGCTGGGGGCCATGACCTACAGAGCCGCATTCTCTCTAGGCAGAGGAATGCTGCTCCAGAGAAGGGCAGCATAATAAGCAATGTCAGAATATCTGGTGGAGAGGTGCTCTTGAGAAGCGAATAGGTACTAACCACAGAAGAGAACAGAGTGCTGAGCTTCAGGGCTGCTGTTGCCTGTGGTAACATACCATTGCCTACTGCCAGTGTTACCTCCAGCACTGTTGAGAACCTGCTAAGAGTGAAATAACTGTCACAGCATGAACGACTTTGTTCTCCAATCTCAGCAGTCTCCAGTAAAGAAGAGTGGCTTTTGGTAAGCACTGGCTTACAACATTTCTTCTTCGTTGCAGGTTCTTTCAGCCCCCACTCTCTGAGTGAAAATTTTGTTTTAGCCATTGTTTTTACTAATACTGCCTTAAATATGCTGAAGTAAATGGCTACAGTTCTGTCCTCCCACTTCTCCTTCCACACCGAGTGCTCAGGTTCACTCTGCTGCCTTCAGCATGATGCAGGCATGACAAGAAGCTCATATGTCAGGACAGTCCATCTGTCTGACCTATGACTCAGTTTGGATGTCTGCAAACTCCAGGTAAACTATTCAAGACAGTTGATCTATTTGAGCCTCCACTTCAGAGGAAGGCAGTAGGAGGTAAAGCCCTCTATCTCTCCCAGTAACCTGCTCTTCCTATGAAGAAGCCAAATCCTAGCTCAGCATGTCAATGCACAAACTCCTTTACTGAAATTCTCAAGCCTATTTACTCCCACTGTGATACCCAACAGACCACTTGGGAAAAAGACCCTCCAATATGGGGACTTGCTGCAGAACGCCCTTACACAACAGCTCGCACCAAGCCACTGCAGATCTGCTGCAAAACTTCCTTCCCAGCTAATAGGATCAATGAGAGACAGATGAATTTCTTTGCACTGCCTTTAAATGCAGGTGAAATTGCCTGTTCCTTCTATTACTAGGGTTGTCAATGGTTTTAGATGGGGAAGAGTCCACGAGTACTAAGAGAACACATTATACTGAACAGGCTGCGAAGGAAAGGCAAACCCATTCCAGCCAATTATCTTGAATTGAAATAG